TCCCCGAGCACAGTCACCTGCCCCAGCTCAGCCCCTGCCTGCTCCCAGCACTGCACTCCCCTGAGAGTGAGCAGGTCATCAGGAAGAGAAACACTATGGAGACATGGGCTCATGGGCAATTGACAACAAGGGAGACCTTATAAACGATGCACACTGAGGCTACAGAACCCACAACCTCTGTGTGCTCAGCGACATTTGTTCTAAGAACAAACGTGATCTGATTCCTTCAGGCCAGAATTCAGGTGAACAATTTGCTGTTAAAAAAAGAGACCTCTCTTATGGCTGAGTCGTATTCAGTTGTGTATATGTACCACATCTTCTTTATCCAGTCCTCTATCACGGGCACTTTGTCTGTTTCCATGTCTTGGCCACCATGAATAATGCTGCAATGAACATAGGGATGCATATATCTTTGCGTATAAATGATTTAGAGTTTTTCGTGTATACACCAGGAGAGGAATTTTTGGGTCATATGGTAGCTGTATTCTTAACATGGTGTTATATATAGACTTTGTAACTTAGAAATCCACACGTGAAACCTATATGTTCATGTTGACCAATGTCACCCCAATAAAATTTAATTTAAAATAACCATTACAATGTAAAAAAAAAAAAAAAAAAGGAAGGAGACCTCGTGGCCTTCCTTTGAACAATGCACACCTGTCCTCCCAATTGCCGCCCCTATAGAAATCCCCTACGAGACAAGCATCTGTACACCTTTCCATAAAAATGTCGGAGTGCCAGAAATTTTTATGCAGAACAACTTTGGCCTCTCCTCAGAGGCAGGTGTGACCAGAGCCAACCTGTCTGGAGTGGCTTTTTACGTGGGAGTCCTCAGTAGTGTCAACAAGCATAACGATGTTATGTTACTGGGCTCCGCCCCTGGGAACCAGCGCACATCTTTATGGAGGGACCGAGTTTACCTTCCTTGTCCCTTCATAGCTTGGATTAAAAATTGCCCAGAGTTCAAATATTTAATGTTCTTCCTTATTTCCCATTCCTGGAATGTCTCGTTGTGGCACGGCTTGTGGCCAATGTGTGGTGTTCCTCCCTCGCCAGGTACTGGGCAAGGTCTCACTTTGGGGCTACTTCAGCCTGAACACGCACCCGTGACCTCTGCACCTTTGGGGCGGCTTCCTAGGGTGTTCTGTATTGCATTATTTTCCTTTCTGGGTCGCAGCAAGCGATTTAGTTTTTATCATATGATGAATTTTCTACACATTTCACAGCACATGGTCTGATTTGTTCTATGATTGTGGGGTGCTGGCAGCTCAGAGGCAGCGGGCCAGGGACAAAAGAAGAATCATTCTACAGAATGTCCTGCGCTGTAGGTGCCAACTGGTGGCCTTTCAAAAATGAAGCTCAGACAGGTCAGCTCTGAGTTTCTGGATTGCCTCTTTCCTTCTTGCTTCATTTTCTTTCCTCAACTCCTGTCTCCTCCTTCCCTGGGCGCTGATACGTTCAGTCTTCAGCAACTCATGGAAGGCAAGCTGGGGATTTTCCATCCTGTTCATATATCCTCTGTGAAGAGCTCTGTTTTATGGGAAGAGGGCTTATATCTCTGACATCTGTCCTTCCTTCCCTAAAAAATAAATTATAATAATTAAATCTTTAGAAAGTTAACCAATGGGTCTGAAATTCTCTCAGAGTATGGTAGCCAAACCGTGGGCTTGATGGGTCACTCTGGCCATCCAATGTCATGTGTGATTCTTACAAAACCACTGCCAGCCCCGCGGCAGCCCACCTGCCCTCTCATACGTGTGCATGAAGGTGACCCGATGAGTTTAGTTCTCTGAATCTGCCATGGGGACCCCATGAGGGTTTGGGTAGGGAACTGTTTTACTCTGAAGGGCCCTATTAAACATTCATGGTGCTTCCCATCCATTTTCTTCTTCCCTGGACTGAAGGCCTAGACCTCCAACCTTATGAAATTAGATGCAAAGCTGGAGTTCCTTCCAAGTGTTCCTTTGCCCATGACATTGGCATTCTTTTCATATCCAAATAGATACTCCCTTGGCGATTATTCAACAGAAAACTGGCATTCCCTGAAAGCCAAACAAAACCAGCTCAAAAAAACAAAATGAACCAGCACAGAAGACATCTGAGCCTTATTTTCTCTGACCTGGCAGGTCGAGTGGGGAGGGAGAAAGACTGGGCACCCAGCTGCCTCAGGGCTCAAAGACCTGTAACTAGGTCACAGTGACACCAGGAAATGTGTGTAGTTCTCTGGGCAGAAGCAATGTGGCTGTTGCTGCTGCTTCAAAGGTAGAGCTCAGCATGGCTGCAGCAACTGCTGAAGGCTGCCCACTCTTTCCACCCTTTCTTCTTTCTTTCCTGCTTTGCAATAGTGAGTCCTCTCTTAGGTCTCCTCCTAAGGGCCTCTGAGGGTGCCTGCAGTCACTGCTTCCCATTCAAGCCATGAATTGGGTTAGGGACATTCCATTTTCAACTCTACAAGTTAGCTCTACCCACATTTAAAGAAAATGCAATGCATAGTAAAAGAAAGGATTACATTTAAAAAATAAATAAAATTCACCCAAATTCCCACCACCTACATTTATCTCTTGAGTTCCCTTTAAAATTGACAATGGAAA